CTAGTTATCACCACCCACCGCCAACTCTTGGGCTATTCTTTTACCAATGAATAGTGTGATTGACTGTCACATTATAATGCCCCTACGGCTGAAAGGGGGAGCATGTTTGGTGTGACAGGGTTTCGGACCCGCGACCCACAGAGTGCGAGTCGAGCGCCCTAACCACCTGGCCATGCCGGGCCTTTATTAAATGAGTTGTGTAAAAGCTTTTTTATAGTCCATATAATTTACAATTGACTGATGTTTAATTTTTTCCACTATCTGATAACATGTTTAGTTTTTTTTAGATTTGTAAAACAACATCTTATTTACAGTTCATTTGTTTCTTGCTAAAGCTTAAGATTCATAAGTATTTCACATGTAATCTTTTAATTGTCCTTTTTTTACAAATCAAAACTGTATTTGCTTTTAAGTGTAAAAATAGTTTGTGGAATGAAAAACACAGGCCTGCAAATTTAAACTTCATAAAAGTTGTTTTGATTTTAATAATGGATTTTCAATACTTCAGCTATGCAGACTTTGAAAATAATATTCATTTTTTTTCTATCATGTAAGGATTTTTACAAATGGGGGAGAAAAACTCTTACTTACATCAAATCATTATTTTATTTACCACAATTAGTATTTTTATTTTTATATTTTTTTAACAAAAATACAAACAAACTGAAGAAAAGGGAAAGAACATTGATGTTAAATGAATATGCATCCTCATTTATTCTGATTTTTTTTTGTGAAATCTACATCTTTTAGTCTCAAAACTATGTGTTGTGGTCTTTCTTTTATGTATTGCATTATGATGTATTTTGAAAAATCTGTACGAGATAGAGAAAATTTGATATTATTTTCAGATGAAGCATACAGTAATTACTGTAGAACATGTAAAAATTTCAAGACAATAAAACCAGATAGCCCTTTGTGTAGCTTTGTGCTTAACTTCAAAAAATTGTTTGTCCATTCAGTTTGATTTCATAATCAAGCTACATAAATGAATATTTTTTGAATAATGGTATTGAATAACAATTTTCCTGAGGTGAGCTTTTGATTCTTTAATTAAGTTTATATCTTAAATTAACATAGAAATTTATTGGATAATTGATTTTTTCTTTAATTCCTTTTGTATACAGTTCTTATTTCCAGACTCTGTCAGTATGTATGATGTGTATACATGTACTGGTAATTTGTTTTCTCTGACTTGATAATATTTTATTAACTTATTTCCTCTAGTGAGCTTCTCAGTCACAGAAAAAGAAATATATTTCATACAGTTTAATGCTACGAGGCTTCACACTGGAAACTACACTTGTTCTAATCTTTTTGGGAGCTCAGTCACATTGCAAGTTATTGTGACAGGTGAAGCAATTTTTTCTCTGTATAGCAATATATTAGTGTTTATAAGTAGAAATTATTTATAGTATAGTTTTTGATCAGAAATCACTTAAAAAATGTATGGATTTGAAATATCTGAAAGAACATAAACCCCTTTCTTAAAACTTATTCCAAAACCACAGATATATTTCAACTTTTTAAAATAAAATTATGATCATTTTTAATATTAATTTCAAATGTGTTGTTTTATTAGGTGTTTTAGTAATAAAACTAATTGTCTTTATGTTATTTTGAAACTCACTGGCTAGAGAGATTTTAGCTTCATGTTGAATACTTCTATTAGCTATTGAGGATTAGTCATTGGACAACAGCCCTTTATTTTTAACTTTACTATGCTCTATCTTCAGTAATGTATATCATAATGTATAAGATTGAATTTTCAATCTAGTTTGATAACATGGCAGTATTATGACATTATTTCATTTTAATTAAAAGTAGAAATTTCCAACTTGTAATGCTGTAAATCTTTTAAGCATGAGGTTGAAGTTTACAGTTTTTATCTGTAAAGTCACAACTCACTTGAACAATACTTCTGTTTCTTATGTTTGGCATGCTACATTTTTGTGAGACCTTGTGAATAACTCGGAAAAAACTTTATTGTTTTTTAAAATTGTTAATTTTTTTCTTATTGTCATTAATAATGAAGTTTGGCTTGGTTTGTTTGATTTTAAATGGGCCTTTATCATTTGTGCATAAATTTGATATTTTTGGCTTGGCTATACATGAACCTAACTTTCTTGGTTGGTTGTTTATGTCATTGTGTTTGTTTCAAGATACTCAGAGCAGACAAGTTGGAGCTAGTGCAGGGTTGAGTTTTTTTTGTTTTTTTTTTGCACCTAAAGTGGTGCAACATTAAAGCTAATGCACAATTCCATAAGCAAAAACATAGGACAGCAGCCCTCCACCTAGATATTTTTGAGACTCCCTTCATGAAGTGCTTTCTTGCTGCCTAGTGAATGGAAGGATTTTTGAAAGCTTTCCTGTAAAGATTCGTTTGAATACTAAATATGGCCCTGTCCTTGAAGAGTGGGTCATTACCAAGCTTTTAAGTCTACCAATATTGCCTTAGGTGACCATGGTGACTGCTTAGTAACATGACTCTTATTTAAAGCCAGTGAGTCTCATGAGAAATAAACATTTTGGATTATACAGTAAAAGAAGTATTGATACACTGTGACTTTTGAGGTACATTACTGAATTCAGATCATGAAAACAAGACACTGGTGTAATCTTGATAAGACTGTATGGGTGACCTTGTTACAAGAGGCAATGTACATCAAAAAGAAGTTGATTGCATTACAAAAGTAGGAGGATCTTAGTGTGAATTAGTTGCCATGGTAACTCAAGAGGGCTCACCAGGCCACAGAGTGGGCATTTGGTTGATAAAGTTGTCTGACGCTTGATGATATGAAGAAGAGAAAACACGTCTTGTTAGTCATAGTAATAAAGAAGAGCCATTGCTCTTTATTTAGTTTTATGTTGATTAACTAGTACAACAGAGTAAGATAAAACAGAAGTGGACATGCAAAACTGAAGGTGGATCTCTGTCTATGAAGCACACATTTTTAGAATTATCAAAGATACTGGCAGTATAACAGGTAGAGCAAATGAACATTACTCTGTATTTAGCATTCTACTCATCATGCTCATAGAAACAATAGGAATGCTACCAAATGCTGCCTTTCTAGGGAAAGAAGAGCTAGTGTGTGGCAATGAGCATTGCTGTATCTTGAATTCCCAGAAAAAGCCTGACTATGACAATAAGATTTAAGGGACAACAATAAGCTTTTTGTAAAGAGGACTATAACATAATTGTAAAATATACACATTACAGTTAATTATGAAAGATGCAAAACAGATACAGTGACAAGATAAACATACAAAGGTTCAATATGCTGTATTAAAATAATTTTTGTAGTCTCACTATGTTGTTACAATCCATGTTGCCATGTCCAGTCATGCTCTGTCTAACATCCATCCATCTTCACATCAAGGTTGCAACATAGCTTCCTTTGCAAAAGGTTCCATCGTAAGGCTGTTATGTCTAAATTACACCCCTACTCGTTACATTTTTGTTATCATGGCTGTGGTATGTCTTGTTGTTGGTCTCTTTCTGGATGGTTCTGATTTCCCAAGTTGATTCATGTTTCTTTGTTATCCGATGCAATTCAGTACAAGAGATATTCCAGTTTTTGGAAATTATAAATCTCTGATCTCAACACATCTTTATGATCTGACTGTGTGAAAATTTTTCACCAGAACGGAGTGTTTCATATTCCCTAAAGTGATCAATTTTTGGTGGTGTCACACTACCAACAAAATGGTAATGGGTAACAAAACATAATTCTGACACACGTAATTGAACAAACTGATTTTTATATTCAAAATCGTTTTAATATAGCATATTTAATTTTCTGTATGACAGATGCTAAATTTATATGCATATCCAATGTAACATAGATGTGAACCATCCAACACACATACAGATATTTTGAAGATATTCAAAGGTATGTAACATGTATACACTACAGCTACTTTAGAGTGAGCTACAGAAGCAGTCAACTTGCATGTGATCTATATTTTAAAAATATATCCTGACGTGCTGTACAATAACAGTACATATAAGTTGCATGTATGCTGCAGATGTGAAATTTTGGTGAGTATGTACATGCAACATTGGGCAAAGTTTCTAGTGGTAGCATAAAAAGCAAATGAGTACACTTTACACTCTGGGATGGTTGGCTGGTTCTGATGAAGATCAAACATCTCTGTAACAACTAGAGATTCTTGAACCTAATATGTTGAAAGGTAGGTGTAGTGACTTGTAGTTATGTAATAAAGAATACAAGACAATGTGAAGCTAAAATGGAAAAAAATGGTGAAAAACTGTTGTATTGATGGTTGTGAATTGAAAACAAATTAAAATGAATAATAGTTGTAACTTCAGATTGTTAGTATTGGAGTATTTAAAGAAAGATGAACACACACAACAAACCAAGACAAAAATTTGCAGTGAATTTTCAAGCCAGAAATTATATCATCAGAAAACACCAGAACTTAAATTGTTTAAATATTAGTATATCGTAATGTATTTATCTAGTGGGTAGTTTGTTAGATTTCTCAAACGTTAGCTTCAATAAACTATACTGTTTTAATTGTCCTTATGAGGGTTTTTTTATATGTTGGTAACTATATTCTCATGATATATCATCTCTTAAAACTGATTTCTGGGTAAGTTGATGATGTTACAATATATTAATTGCAAAAAAACATGTTTTTAGATCTTGAAGAATCAGTTACTGAACAACAGCTCTCAACATTTTGTAAGCTTGGGATTTATGATGACAACCTAAGAATCTTTCATGGTGTTCATAAAATAAAAACTGGAGATGAGGTTCCAGATGGAGGAAGGATATTATTTCACTGTGATCCAATTGGAAAAAGTCGATTGTATGGCAAGAATGAAACTTACTGTAACAAAGGAAGTTGGATGGACAAGGTGTTTCCTACCTGTGGTATGTGAGTCATTACATAAAAGCAATTAAGTATTTTTTTTGTTTTATGTTAATATGTCCTGAAAATCAACCATTAAAAATAATAAGCAGTCTACATATTCTTCATATATTTGCAAATAAAAACTTTAAGTTCTTATAAGAGTGATTCTTACTTTAATTCTTACTTAAAACTGTTCCATTGTAAAAAACAAATATTCATTCTAAAAAGTACATTGTATTAAGTTCCATAGGTGTATCACAATCTTGCTCTTTTTAATTGCACACCACAAGTGCTGGATGGTATTTGCTCCGAACAGTCTATTAATACTAAAAGTTTGGATGATGCATCAAAATGGATATTCTGTTATTTGTCTTGCACACTTTTATCCTTTATCATTAAATTATTAGCTTACATTAATTGTCATACAGTGTTTTGATTATGCATCAAAATGGATATTCTGTTATTTGTCTTGCACACTTTTATCCTTTATCATTAAATTATTAGCTTACATTAATTGTCATACAGTGTTTTGATTATGCATCAAAATGGATATTCTGTTATTTGTCTTGCACACTTTTATCCTTTATCATTAAATTATTAGCTTACATTAATTGTCATACAGTGTTTTGATTATGCATCAAAATGGATATTCTGTTATTTGTCTTGCACATCTTATCCTTGCAAGATTTCTATCTCTTTTGATTGTTTTGTAACATAACTTTTCTATGTTTTTGATTATTTTTATACATAATGTCATTGTGCAGTTGTCCTAACAGCTTAAAGGGATGGGTACAATGTTGAAAAAATTGTTCTTCATTTGAGGCATTATGGGAAATGTCATTAATGTGATTCAAGTGGGTAAAGAAAGAATGTAATTAGAATTTTATTCTGAAATTAGAGTAAAGACCAGCATTTTCTTTCTCTTTTAAGTACAGCAAAATTAACCAGGAATTTAGCATTGGTTCAGACAGAACCCTTGGTTTATTTACTATGGCCAGGTGGTTAGGATGCTTGACTCACAATCTGTGGGTCGTTGTTCAAATCCCTGTCCCAGCAAACATGTTCACCCATTCAGCCATGAGGGCATTATAATGTGACCATCAATCCCACTATTCATTGATAAAAGAGTAGCCCAAGAGTTGGCGGTGGGTGGTGATGACTAGCTTTAGTCTTTCACTTCTAAATTAGGGATGGCTAGTGCAGATAGCCCTCGTGTAGTTTTGCGCGATATTCAGATCAAACAAACCTTCATTATTGACTCTGCTGCTTATAATTTTCCAACAATTAATTTTATTTCACTGTTTAATTTATAGTTTGAAAGCTAAGTGAAAAATGTGTGTTTTTTTGCTATTATAACCTTTAAGTTCAAGTGTTGTTGGTAGGGGCTGATGAAAATTAATAAGCATTAACTAGGCATGTTTGAGTTTCTTTTTAGACATAGGTTTGTCCATGAGTTTCACTGAATTTTGTTTTTTTGCTCTGCTATTAGTTCTGCAGGTAATATATAGATACTTGTTGGGTGGAAACACAACTATGCCACCAGGGGAAATTATCTCCTCTTCTCGACTATTCAATTCTATTTCAACATCATTAGAAGCTGAAAAAACAACAACAAATCATCAATAACAAATAAAAATAGTTATCAGTGTCTTTTACAATTGTTCTTTATGCAAGCTCTATATTATGTTACTTTAAGTTACACTTATAATGTGCTTAAACAATGGATCATTATAAAATTTTATTAGGCCAAGTTTGAGTACAAAAGTCAAAGGTGGTGGTAGTAAGTTACCTGGTTATCATTATGAATATACATTTGTATATTCTTTTGTAGACTTTTACTCTTGGCTTCTCTTTCAAAAACATCACTTTACTGGAACTTGTACTTAAAATCTTTGTGCCATTTTATTTGATGCAGACTTTGATAATGAAGTTGTTTATGTTAAAAGTATGTGGGATATTAATTTCTTGCTGAGGTTCAAATTATTCTTTATTTTAAAGTTTTAAATTATTTTCCTCATTTGTTATTGTTTTGTATTTAATGCTTTTTATTTTACCTTGATTACACAATTATTTTTTATTCAATAAGAAAATTTATTAAAAATAATTAATTCAGTAGTTAAATTTATTACGCGTTGCTCGATACATTGAATTGTCTTTAAGAGATGATAGTGTCCATGTAAATTTAAACTTTAAAAACTAGGCCTTCATACATGGTATCTTGACAGAAAGCTTATTATAACTCACAGAAATTAACACTTTCACAAAAGGTTGTATCTACACAACATTTATTATTGAATTGTAGATTTTTGTCAATTGTTGTTATCTTTTCAACTGGAAACAAGACAGACTTATAGTATCATGTCTGTGATTTATAAAACAAAAACAAAATATAAACAGAAATTGTCTGTATTCATTTCATTTTATGTAGAAGAAATGCATATTCTCGTAATACAACATTTTGTTTTGTTTGTTTGAATGAAAACAAGAGGGGGGGATAAAGTCAAAATTAAGGGAAGATGGACCTGCCTTCAAAGTTTTATCATTACAGCCAAGAGAATAGGAAAGCTCCCACAGTCCAATTTGATGGGTTTAACATTCAGGGTTAGTTTAAGTCATACTGCAGACTTGCAACTATATATACTCCATAACAGTAAATTTTGGTTGACCCTGGCTATGCTGTGTCACTTGCAGATGGCCATCATTTTAAGTAAAACTGAATTTGGGTATTTGTTTTGTTCTTATAAGTGCCTTGATTTTTAATATGATTATTCTGATTTTTTTCTCTTGTTTTTCTAGGTTTTTATAGTTGTAAAAGAGTATTATGTAGTGGAATGTATATATACACCAATTATCAACACTCAGGCACTTATACCTGTCATATCGCAGAAGAAAATTCAATCTCTATTGATCTAGTGATTCAAAGTAAGTTTTTCTTCTTTCATTTTTAATTCTTCTTTCTATTCAATGTATAGTTATGGATGTGTCTATTTTTTAGTCTGCTTTATCACTTCTGTTAAATCAGGGTTATCCCCAATGAAATGAAAGACTTGTGGATCTAATATTTAGTAGAAAATGTGTATTTATTTCTGGAAAGTGAACTAAAAGAAAGGAAACACGGTGTTAATATCAAGATAAAATGAAAGGGAAAAACTATCTACTGAGTAAAGAGAATAAAAAAATAATAAAGTGCTTGTCTGAGTGGTTGGAAAAATGCAAATAAGATGATTAAAATTAGTAGGTAGAAGAAACAGTGAAACAAAAACCATCTGTACTCCTCAAAAGGCAGACTAGCATCTCCTGAAAAATGACCAAATTACAAAATAAACAAATATACAAAGCAACTGACCAATCAGAAAAATTGGTACCAAATGCAGAAATATCTCTGCTCTCTGAGACAGCCACAAGGTATCCTCCAAACACGAGGTCAAGCAGAATTTGATGCAACTATCCCTTGAAACATTTCCTTAAACAGTAATACTACAAAAAGTAACATCTCATGCTGCAGTTTATCATGTTACCTCAACCAGATTTAGAGAGCACTGGAATCAGAATTTTCCACACTGTGATTGCTATCTATAACTGTAACTGTTAACAGAACTTAAACTTAAAGATAACATTTCTTAGTAAGAGTTTCATGCTTGAGAAATATGATGCTATAGAAAATTCAAAGAAAACAAATATAAAATTCTATAAAACACTTATTTTTATATTCAGTCATTGATGCTGGCACCTGTAAAGCACAGGATTTTGTAAAGGATATAACAGATTGATTAATTTTCTCAAACTTGTCTTCAATGAAATATTTTTCAAGTATTAACAAAGAAATATGTAACTATTAAATCTTAAGTTTTTAAGTAGAACAAAAATTTTATGTGTAATAAAAATATTTATGGTAACTAAGGTCATGTAAACTTTATAAAGATGGAAAAGTCCAAATAATTATCTATGAAATGAAATTTTTTAGCTCAAATTTATGAAATTGCCTTGAATATCTGGCAAACTGAAACAGTGAAATTTATAAACTTGTCACAATTTGTTACCATATAAATGTGTTGTTTTTAAATTACTCTAATCTACTTATTAAGAATAAAAACTTTCCTAAACCTTCTTCTGACTTACTATTTGTTTCATATGCAGCTGCTATGATTAGGTTGCAACAAGTAATAAATGCACAATAGAAACCTACTTCTTGGACAGAAGTGATAAAACCAATGACAGTCATGCACTTAATGTTTCAAATAAGTTATTACCTCTGCCACCAAAGGTGGATGGAGGTTATGTTTTCACCCCTATATGTGTGTGTTTGTCAGCAAGATTTCTCAAAAATGGCTGAATGGATTTGAACAAAAGTCAGTATACATTTGGACTATGACCCAACTTATTAGTGATTAGCTTTAGGAGGGTCAAGGTCACAAAAAAATCCTTATCTTTTAACATGAGGACTGATTTTTCACACTATTTTTGCTTTCTAACTCAGTCAAAAATGATCGTTGTTAGAGGAAATTTGGTGAGCATATGTAGAATATTGTTCATTATTCTGTTAAAAGTGGTTTGTGTCCCTTGATAACAACAGACATATGGACGTATTTTCATATTTTTTGAGAGTTGAATATGATCAATGCTATGCAGCAGAGTAGTGCACTCTACTAAATGCCCCTCTAATTTTACTTATATTAGGATCTTAATAATTGATAGTTAATGTTTATTTTCTATGCAGACATTAGATGTCCAGTCATCCCACATAGTCCAGGATTAGTGATCAAGCATGAACACAGTTTTGTCCAGTTTAGCTGTAAAGATCAATATGAGCTCATAGGAGCCAAAAATGCTACGTGTATGGAGACACATCAGTGGTCTCAAAACGTTCCTGTCTGTCAGCCTAGAGGTATTGTACTTTTATTTGTAAGTTTGAGAAATGTATTTACATTGAAAGCAAAACTCTATAGCAATGCTGTATATCAAAAATTAACCAGCCAAAATTAAATTCTTTTTCCTATATCATTCAATGTAAAGATGCTTTTATTCCTTATTGTTCATAAACCTAACTATATAAAAACTGCACAATGAACACCAGTAACAAACAGTTAGTTGCCTCTGTTTACTTTATCTTATTCTGTATTACTTATTGTCTGACATGATTTCAAATTGGTAAAATATTGATTACATGGAAGAGATACATCAAATGTAATATTGACTAATGAAGCTGGTCTATCCATTGTTACCCTTAATATATTTACATGTATTTTTTCCTCTCAAGTACAAGCACTGAACAGTTTATGGGGCTGAGGATGCAGCAGCCCCCTTGCTTTTAATATTTGAATTCAAAAACAGATGTCTTATAATAAGTTATTTTTGAAAGAAAAGCATTAACTTCAAGAGTTACAGTATCCTGACTAATAAATATACAATAATAATGTATGAATAACTGGTAGTTTTATTTGAAGAACAGACTACTCCCCTACTGATTTTTAAAAATGTACTGAGAATGATGAATTGCTAGTATGCAACTAGTGATTCACAAAAATCCCCTGCGTACATGCCATCTGATGCTTGTCTATGCAGTGGTCAATAACCCAGAATATCTTGAATGTAAATGCAAGGGAAAACCTTAAGATATTTCCCACAGTGCATCCTTTGACAAATTTTCATCAATCTTGTGTTCATCCATTTGGCTAATGCCAACTTATTCTGGAGTTCCATTCTTTATGATTTCCATCAGCTTCTTCCAGTGGTTCTTCTTGACAATTTGTAAAGTACCATAAAATCTGACTTTCATCACCACAATAGATGATATAACTCAAACCCTCTTTACTCTTTGTCTCTTGGCCTCACTCTATGTCATCACCTTTTGGTAGGTTTCAAGAGAAGCTCCTGCCACAGTTCCATCAGAAAAAAAAACAGTATCTCCCCACTGTGTATTATATTCATGAACTGATACTAAAATTAACACACAGTCATATTAAAGTGTGATGAAGTTAAATATTAGAAATCAGTTTTAGGTGGTAAGTAAACAGAGAATAGAAACTCTTAAATATAGCCCATAATCTCACTTTATTCACATAATATCTGGATATTTGAGGTGAATGATAAAATGTGTAATGTTAAGTCCAGTTCTTGATATTTTGATAACTTTACTAAAAGGTCAAATACCAAGACACTTGCTCATGACTAACACTATAACAGAGATCCGTCACAATATAAATGACAGCTTTCCTATTTGAGAGAATGTAGTTTTTAATGTTATGTTCTTGGATTAACCATTCACTTGATATGTACAAGTCAGTTAGTGACCAGTCACCTTTTATTGTTAGTTAGCCTTTTTAACTCATTTTTTTAATTATACATAATTAATCTAACTTTTAATAACCCCTAACATGCTACTGTCTTCAGGTATGTAATTGACACTGAAACCTTAGGAACAGAAGATGATAGTTCTCTCCACTAGAGTGGGCTGCCATCACTATTGATAGCTTCAGGCATTGTATCTATGTTTTTCAGTAATAATAACCAGGTTTATTAACTTCAGTGCTTGATGGGCTTAGAGAATTTTTAGACAATTGAATCTAAAGTCTTCAGTAATCTTTCCTTCTTCAAGTATGATTGTTTGTGTATTGTTCTGGTATTGGTGATTTTCTTCTCTGATGTGTAATGCAACTATTTTACTGGAAGTGTTACAAAGTCTTTTGTGGCACTAATGCTTGTGGTTTCTCACTTTAACTTGTCTCTTTGTTTCACCAGTGTGTCCATGGGCACATTCAGGTGGCCAAGGACCATCAAGAGGCATTTTAATGTTGCTTGACATTGTTTTCCTTGATTTAAAACCCATCAGCACTAGAAACATGATAATTGGTCACAAGTTTGTTGTTGTACTCAGTTTCAAACTGTTGGTCTGTATGCAGGTAGGTGTACTTTTAGTGTCTGTATGATTAAGTAAAAGGAGATCAAAGTATTTAAGAAAAAAGCTTGTTCCAGGAACTAAACAGATATTTTTGTTCACTCAGGATAATGGTTATATGGTCTATGCCTGGGTAAAAAGTATGGTATTAAAGTCACAGAATCTAAACAGCACAAATAGAGCCTTAATTTCAGCTGTATAGAACTTCTCTAAGTCTAGCTGAAAGGGATGAATCAGAAAGTTAAACCACAACTTCCTAGTCATAATAAGCAGGTCTGAGTTTTGAAATGGCAATGGAAGCAGAACCATTACATTCGTGATTGTTTCCTACTGACACTGTCAGTTTGTAACTTTACACATTGGGGTCATGTCAAATATCTCACTGCAAGTCTAGACAACATTTAATATTGTGCCAAAATAATCTGTTCATCCTACTCTACTTAATACAATTGGTCACTAAACTGTTACATGTTAATAATGTTTTTGTGTTTGGTCACAAGTTTAAGTACAGTTGATAAAGAAAGCAGGCTTGAAACTGAAACCAGGAAAATGTGCAGTCATTTGGATAGAAGTGAATTATCTTGGTCATATCATAAGTAGAGATCTACAGACACTTCTAATATAGCATTGATGAGAGACTGGCCTCAACCTGTGACCAAGTGAGAATTCTGCAGCTTCCCTGGTTTTGAATCATATTACCAATAGTTTGTGGCCAGTTTCTCCAAGAGAACAGCACCATTGTCACTACAGTTGAAGCACACTTTGGATGGAATAAGGAATTTGAACAGGCATACCAACTCCTAAGGCTTGTAACACTTTAATGGAGGCTACAGTGTTGGTATATTGATAACAAGACAGTGGAATTGAGATAGTGTTATCACACGTGCAAGATAGAGTTAGATTTGTAATTGTGTACAGTAATTGAAAACTGATGCCTTTGGAATTCAGATACTGTATATTGAAAAATAGTTCTTCCAGACACCACTTATCTGATAGGAAGTTCACCATCTGAGTGGACCATGCTTAGCTGAAATGGTTAACAAACTTTAAAAACTCAGAAGGTATGATTGGATGTTGGTTAACATTGGTGAAAAATATCACTTTGTCAAAATATATCACCTAGACCTGCAACACTGAAATACAATAGATTGTCTTACCATATGGTGAGAACCTGTCCATTCATTGAATGTCGTGATTCTGGACACCATCTGGGAGTTGAAACCATTTCTGCCATATCAACACCAAGTCATACAGTAGAAGATTTCACTAGTGGATGAATTAATACTTTGATAACTCCAGGAAAAACAGTTGTGTTTTTTGCTATGCAGCAAGGTAATTTTCTTATAGCATGAATAGTGGAAGGTATGCTGTACCATTACTATCAACCACTGAGCCACAGTTTCAGACTGTGATGCAGCTAGTAGTCTCCAGAGCTATAAGGCATGAGATTCTCCAGACTTGGCATAACTCAAAGACTAGAGGTCCTCATTTTATTTGAGATGTTTAATACTGGTGTAAACCCTTTTTAGGGTTTACCACCCAGAGAAAGAAGTGGCAAGGTTAGGGTACACTCCAGCAGTTGATTGTTGGACCTCCTCTACAGATAATGGTCCTGAGTATTGCTGGTTCACTCCTGAAGACTGAATGAAAACATCAATGATTACTTGAAGTGGGCCAAGGGTTAGCGATTGTTCAATACTTTGGCACAACTTGTTGCTGATTTGTTGGTAGAGCACCAGGTAGCATGATCCAGAACACTGCAAAAGGTCCACACAACCAGCTGTTCTCTCAGTTGTGTTAAATGCTAGGCATATTGAAGACACGCACATCACGTTATCGCCCTCAGTCTAATGGGTTAGTAGAACTGTCAATAGTATACCAAGTGCATGCTAAGTTTGTTAGTTTTGAATAAGTGGCATGAAATATTACCATATGTCATGAATGTTTAAAGGACAACTGTACAGAGGTCTACAGGTTGTTTAGTTGCTCCCTGTCAGTATAAAGTACCCCTAAAATGGATGCTTGCAAAGTTTGTTAATCCCAGCAAACTGACTGGGATGAACATTTGTCATGTGCAAGCATGATATACAGAGCAAGTGAGCAGGGACTTGCAGGTAGTTTGCTGAACATACTCATGTTCTGGCAGGAAATACTATTTCCTGTTCATGTGATATATATACCCTTCTCTATGAAAAGACATACAATAATATCCAAAAAAATTATGAAGTGGTTAAGTCTGCATTAGTTGATATGCATGGGTTTGCACGCCAACAGCTAGGAAAGTCCACCAAGCAGAAGAAGTTTCTTGGTGCATGCACAAAAATAGCTCATATATAGTTTGGCAGGCCCATATCTCGTTACAGCAGATATAAGTCATACAAAATGGCATGTGTAACACATCAGTAAGCTGTATTCATGTGTCACAAATGAACCAGCACAAATCAGTATTATTTTTATTTGCTTTTTGCATGGTCTTATACCTCCCTCAAAGAAAAATCAAAATAAATTCACAGTATGTAAATTCTATGAGATTAGTACTATAGTCCCTACAATAAATTAATTGCTGACATTATGAGATTAGTACTGCAGTCCCTACAATAAATTAATTGCTGACATTATAGGATTAGTACTGCAGTCCCTACAATAAATTAATTGCTGACATTATAGGATTAGTACTATAGTCCCTACAATAAATTAACTGATGACTTAATTTTGGTATTTTCAGTCTGAAAAACAAAACAAAACTTTATCAGCATCTAGGCATAGTCATCTCGACTTCAGAACTGTTTATCAGAGAGAAGGAAATCAATCAGTAGTATCTGCCACCTATGTGGTTAATCTTCTTGAATAGCGACATTGACCCTTACAGTTACAATGTCTCTATAGTTGAAAGTATGGAATGTGTTCAACATCACATTATGGTTGAACTTCTAAACAGTAACAGCTAGGCCATGCTCAGACCTAATTAAATTATACTTTTATTTTAATTAGCTGTGAGATATCGACATTGAAATATGCCATCAGTTCCAGAACTTACTATCTACTTCATGAAGTCAAATATTTATTCTCATGTTTTCAACAGGTTCTCAGTGTTATGCACACAAGTTGTACGAAGTGATACCTGCAGAAATAACTCCAAAGCTTGAGAAAGAGACCTATGAGAAAGGAGAAGAAGTTGAGGTTTTTTGTCATAATTCAGGCTCATTTATTGTTGGAAATAAAGTAATATCATGTACTCCTGAAGGACACTGGAATGTTCCAGAACTGATATGTAAGTTATATGTTTCACCTAGAGTTAAGCACTAATAACCGTGTATTCATGGTAAAGTACGAAGAGTAGATGTTTAATAAAAAGGTCACACAAAGTGTTTTAATTCAAATATCTATATATATATATATTTTTTATTTTGGTTTCATTAGTTATTTTTAGTCCTACATTTTGTTCATAAATCTTAAAGGAATGTTTAATTCTTTTTGTATCCTCTAAAACTTACTTGGTTAATGTTTTGATTTTATTTACTGTAAAGAACTGTAAATACTTATTATTTTTAAGAAACAATGAAGTTAAGAATTTCTTTTTAAACTCAATAAATTTAGTACCAATTTTATTGATAATGTAATTTGTGAAATTTTCAATGTAACTGACATCTATAAAATGTCATAGTTCAGTCTTCCTAAGAAACATGAGATGGTTGTCATACAATATAGATAACATTTTATCTAATAATATTCTATGGTACTGTGTATCCAAAGTCTGTCCACTGGGGGTGAATTAGATCAGTGTATGAAACTGTTTTTAGGATTAAAAATTAATAATTTAAAGAATGTTGTTTCAAGAGTTAGTGATCATTTACAAGTTTAATTTTTCCTTCCTGTACAAAGGAGTGATTGAGGTCCACTGTTCACTTGTACAAAGGAGTAAATAAGGTCTACTGTTTGCTTGTACAAAGGAGTAATTGAGGACTACTGTTCACATGTACAAAGGAGTGAGTGAGATCCACTGTTCACCTGTACAAAGGAGTGAGTGAGGTCCACAGTTCACTTTTACAAAGGAGTGAGTGAGGTCCACAGTTCACTTTTACAAAGGAGTGAGTGAGGTCCACTGTTCACTTTTACAAAGGAGTGAGTGAGGTCCACTGTTCACTTTTACAAAGGAATGAGTGAGGTCCACTATTCACCTATACAAAGGAGTGAGTAAGGTTCACTGTTCACTTGTACAAAGGAGTGAGTGAGGTTCACTGTTCACTTGTACAAAGGAGTGAGTGAGGTCTCCTTTGTACAGGTGAACAGTGTGAGTGAGGTCCACTGTTCACTTGAACAAAGGAGTGAGTGAGGTCTACTGTTCACATGTACAAAGGAGTGAGTGAGGTCCACTGTTCACCTGTACAAAGGAGTGAGTAAGGTTCACTGTTCACCTGTACAAAGGAGTGAGTGAGGTCCACTGTTCACCTGTACAAAGGAGTGAGTGAGGTCCACTGTTCACCTGTACAAAGGAGTGAGTAAGGTTCACTGTTCACCTGTACAAAGGAGTGAGTAAGGTTCACTGTTCACTTGTACAAAGGAGTGAGTGAGGTTCACTGTTCGCTTGTACAAAGGAGTGAGTGAGGTTCACTGTTCACTTGTACATGATGTTCTCAAACTAAACTAAAACCTTACCATACATCATGAATATCAAGAAAATATGGTTACTGAAGTGATTTTTTAAAACATTTTGACTTTTATATCTCAACAAATCTATAAGTTATGTATTAATCCAAGAAAATATCCAGTTGATCAAAAAAATCACTTCATGCAAATCCTCTACCAAGCTGTAGAATTGATAAAGTCCCAGCAAACATTATTATGGCAAAATTCAAATTATTATCTTTTGTTAGATGGTGTATTAACACAGATTAAACTCTGTGTTACTTATCAGGTGTGAACAGTAACATTACACCTGGAATTATGTATTAGTGAGGTTAAACTCTTTGTTAATTATTGTGTATGAGCAGTAACACTACACCTGGGATTGTATGTGTTCGCTGGTACAGTATTGCTTGCCTTCTGAAACTATAAATGTTTAATTTCTCATCTTTTTGATTAGGTGAAAAAGGTTGTCAACCTCTTGAGCCTGCTTCTGGTTCTCCTATCATCATTACAAATCCTAAGCCTTTTTATCGTTTTGGAGAATCCATGATTTTATCCTGTCCCAAGGGTCAGCAGCTTGAAAATGGAGTATTTCGTGTCATGTGTTTAACACCCGTTTGGTCACAGAACAGCCTACCAAACTGTGTCAGCACAGAAATAAGTCTCTCATAGCTTCCTCATGCTCTGATACATTTGTTAATGTATTTCATATCCCATGTCTATCTGTTTTGATCAGAGAGATTTTATAATTAATAGAAAATGTTCGTTGAAAATTAATATAATCTCATGTTGTTTTTCTGAAAGTGTTCATAATTATTATAATGCTCACAAATGTTTCAATATATTTCAGTTAAAACTTAAAGATATGTGTTACTTGATACCCTGTGAGTAACTACACTTGTTAGTCACAAATTTTCCACTGCAGTGACTAAGATAATTTTGTTTCTATATTTTAATGGAAATTGTTTATTTTACAAATGTCCTATATGTGTAACATAGATACAAATGATATATGATATCATATGATATATTTTAATGAAAAAAATATTTAAATAAACTGTTACATGAGAGGCAAGTTTCATGGATTGTAATGTTATAGAAACTCACTGCTCTGTTTTGTAGCACTGTATTCCTTAAAAAGACTTGTTGTCAAGCACAAAACTATACAAGAGACTACCTGACCTTTGCCCACAAAGTTATCACTGAGCCACTTGCATTTTCATATGCACAGTAATATATTTATTTAAGGTTAAAATAAGAACTGTATCCATGAAGATGATGAACCATATTGTCCACAGAAACGAGTAAAGTGTGTTTTCTTTCTTTTAATCTTATTAAAATAAGCTATTGTGCATGTAGAAATGTTGATCTTGTCATTTTATTTTATTCAAAGTATGCACAAAGGAGTTGTCTTTCTAATGTATTAAATATGAGTGGAAAATATTCATTGGATGAAACAAGAAAATATCATAAATCACAGCTTTCAGTGAATGGAATGGAGAAACACGTTCAAGTGGATAAGTACATCAATCAGTGTTTAAAAAATACTCATTTTAGGAACTAACTTTTAAAAAAAGTTGTGTAAGATTTTCGTTATAATAATATACAGAAAGGTTTACTGAATCTATCGAAAAGAAAGGTATAATTTTTTTTAGTATATATACATTTTTCTGTTAGAAAATATCTTAAATAAACTGTTATGCAACAGAAAGTTGCCTAATAGTTCTTAAACTATTTATCCTAACATTCACCTTTTTTTTTACCAAGGTTTTTTATGTAAATGTTTACTGAAAAACGACAGAGTGATTTATATTAGTTTGTAGTTGAACACAAAGCTACACAATGGGCTATATATGCCGTGCCCACCTTGAGAATGGAAACCTGTTTTTAACGTTTTAAGTTCACAGTCATCCGCTGAGCCACTGGGGGTCAAGTACTGTTAGGTAAGGGCATATATAAAACTTTTCCTCCTCCATGCCTGGGAAACAATCGGTGTTCTCGAGAACATGATATAATTG